GCCGGCTTTTCTTGGCTTATTTTGAAGGTGACTAGTGATGAACAAATTACTAAACTGCCAGTGCCTCGAGTTTACAGCTAATTAGCTAAAAGACAATAACAAATATAGTTAACTAAGGTAGGCTACTAGCTAATGGATAAGTTAGCTCTAGGTTTAGCTAAGGCAATTTATCATGGGCATACAGGCTAATGTACTGTACTTAAGGCAGTGGTTCTCAAAGTGGGGGGCGTTCCCCCCCAGGGGGCCGCAGAGGCATGACAGGGGGGGCGCGAGAGACCAGGAGGAAAAATGGTTATTTAAAAAAAAAATCATATTTTGAAAAATTATTGATTTGAAAATAATATTATACAGTACAGTACTATTACGTCTGGGTCTCTGTGTTTTATTAAAGCTCGGCTCTGTGTGTGTGTGGAACGAGCCATTTTGTGTGTGCGAGAGAGAGAGCGCACCGGTACCGGAGATCGTTGTTGTTAGCTTCTGGTGCTAGCGAGCTACGCTAACGGATATAAGGAGTTTTTTTACCAACAAAGTGGGGGAGAGTCCTCTCCTGTCAGACTGAGAGACTCAGTGAGCTAAAGGACTCTCTCAGTGTTATCTCAGTGGGTCTCAAACGTTTTGGTCACCATTAATGTAAACAATTATTTCCGAGGCACACATTTATATGATCATTTTAGTTATAAAAAAATAAGAGAATAAATTAAAAACAGGTATGAAATACTATATGACATTAAAAAAAGAATAAAGTTTAAAAGGGAGTGATTTGTAAAATATCCATAAAGAAATAGTAAATCTGTTTACAGTTCTGTTTCAAATGGGTGTTGAGAGATGTATCCATATATCTCTTCATTTTGCTCTCAAAGTGCACCAGATTGATGCATTTAACTTCACCACCTATAAAAATAGGACTTTACCCCTGCTTACACCTATATGCCGTGAGCTGATTATCGAGCCTTCATTGTACACTGTGTGTGTGCGTGGGGAGTGTTGCAGTAGAAAATTCCACTGTAGCGACCGGTACATTAATGGGAAACCCTAAATGTTTGAGCACCCTCTATGAAACGTCAAGCTACCCCACAGCACCCCCAAAATAAATCTCTGGCGCCACCACTGAGCCTGACTATTTGTGTTGGGGGGGGGGCCCGACTTTTTTTTTTCTCCAAAGGGGGGGCCTGACAGAAAAAGTTTGAGAACCACTGACTTAAGGGGAGACACTTAAAGTGAATACAGTAAAATGTGTATCTAATAACTTCATCACAATTGCCATATTGATATGCAAATTAGGCGTTAACTAGGCCTAAATGTGCTAATTTGCATGCAGTTAGCTTTAAATCTATAGATGAATTCAGACATGGTAGAAGTAACAAGTACATGAAAAAACGATATTTTTGCCTGCAATGTCCTGCCTTAAACAGTAACTTCATCATTTTGATTGTTGGCTGCTCATTTAATAACTATTCATTTAACTAGTTTGTTATCTGCTCTTGTGCAATGTGAATACTAAAGAAGACCATTGTTTCTGTGTTAGCTGATTATTTTTGTAGAATTCTGTTGAGTATTAAACAATTACGTGAGTGTGAGGGTATTAAAATAAATTGGTCAGTAAGTCAGAGATGTGCAACTATATTTAACTTTAAAAAAAAAAAAAAAATGTAAATGATTATGGGAAGTGCCCTTTTTCTCACTTGAGCACCCGCCCCCCAAAATGTCTGTGCATGTCCCTGCTCTGTTGTCTAGACTCGAGTGTGACATTGATTTACTGGGCTTAAATGAAAAGTCTGTCTCATGTCATTCTGGTTAACACCGGAGACACTGTGGGGCCATTTCCTAGCATTCGAGAGAATCTGACAACATCTTAAATGTGATATTCTTGAGAACTAAATAAAGTAAGTTATGCATAAAAACTGGAAAAAACATTTCCAACATTGTAACAGAAAACCAACATGTTTGGCCTTTTATTTGAAATTGGTCTAAAATGTTACAAATGTCTGACCTGGCAGATGCAGCTGGTCCAAAAAATGTATATTGAGAAAGAAAGCACATGTGTGTATTACAGTCTCTTTTAACTCCTGCCCTTTACAGTCTATGCTCCTGCCACCTGAGTCATATTTGTAATGTATCTCCTTCTAGTGTCCATTTGGGGTATTACATGAGACAGGAGCGTCTGGTCACAAAACCATGTATACATCTGACATCGTTGCTATTATAAATACGCACTCATTCATGACAAAAAGTACCTTGTATCATACAAATTGTTTTCGTTAAGGTAATGTCTGTGTCCTTTTAACACAGAAAACAAGAACTTCATCAGAGTCTCAGAAATATAAGAGGCACAAGAGCTCCGGCCGGTGTCGCAATGAATCGTGGGAGCTTCCAGGCCTTCAGTCATGGGTCTACTGCTAGTGACGTATCTCCCCTCATATGAACAATCTCTGGTCATGTGAACGAATGGCTGGAATGCTGACACAGCGAGCAAACTCTCGCGAAATTAGCAACAGATTTGAACAAAAATGCTAACGTAAAGCTATTTCCGGGTCAGGTGGAGGTTGTGGAGGACAGGGCGAAAGGCGTTGTGATTCCTAGGGAAAAGGAGTAAACTAACCGGCCTATCGATTGTTTTGCTTTGCTAAACACGGAGGTGCATGGCCACTAATCGCTGCTAGCAGGCTGACCGACAGCACACTCCCTGGTCACATGAAGGGAATCTAACTGGAGAGAGGATGGCTGAGCGGGATGTGTCTCCGGGACATCCACCTCTGCAGTCATTTTCAGAGGAAAGTTCTGTGAGACAAAATTCCTCAGATGAAAACGGACACGTTGAAAGTCCAGATGAGACCCTCTCTCCGACTTCGGTGATATACTTCAAGGAGGCGTTGAACTCCTCTAACTTGATATTTGGAAAGGCTGAGTCGCTGTCACCCTCCCCGCTTCGAAAGTATGACTTCAGGATTGAGAGAATCGAGTCAAAGCGCAGAAGTAAGTGTTTACGAACTTTAAAATAGTCCAGCTAGTTAACAGCAGCCTCCGCAATGTACTAGCATTAACAACTGTACCTGCTGTTAGCTTTGCTAGCTTGTGAGGGTTGTTAGCTAACTTTTGACTGTCCCTAAACAAACTACTTACTACCTCCGTTTGATTTATAAAACTGATAACAGCTAGTGTTAGGGAGATGATACATAATACAAACTGTCTTTTCAGTTAAATTGCATCCTCACATGTGTTTGCGAAAGGACAGCTTAGTGGTGTATCAATTAGTAAACATAGCTGCTGTAAACTTCATCCGGTTGCACGTCCTGTGCGTCAAGTCTGTTTTGTCTGACTTGATTAATCGCTTCTCAACGCCACTGGCTGATATGGTTTACATTTAACGGTGGATTGGTCACACATTAGCTAGCTGTCTGTGATCAATCTCCCACAATTCACCTCACCAACAACATATTATGCCAGGAACAGAAACACACCATGATAGACTAACATCATTTCGTTTAATGTTGCATCATCATCATAACATTATTGTCTATCTAGGTGAGACACTCATTTGTAAGGAGGGAAATGATGTGAGCATCCTGTATGTTTGTGTTGATGACTGTCAGCGTTGTACCATCATATTGCTAAGGACTCACCATTCAAGAGGATTAGTCGACTAATTGGTTGTTTTAGACTTAGTTGACTGAGATGTTCTTTACTCAATTAGTCCTTTTTAATGCTGAATGACTAACCTCAAAAGGGTGTTATGTGCACATATGTTGTAAACATTAGATATAAGTTGGTGATTTTGCATTATTCTTTTAGTTGAAACTCAGTTTTGCACATTTATCAATTAAATGAAATGATAGATTGAATAAAAAACTATTACCACTAGTCAAAATGTAGTTGGTCAACTAAGTTTCTCTTAAGTCAAGACTGCCCTAAATATTGCAATATGAAATGAAATACTGCAATATGGATAAAACTGGGACTGCTTCTTCTAAGTCGACTCTAAGAAACAAATCTATTGTGCCTATTCCTTTGCTGTTTTCTAATGTTGTCCTTTTGGCATATGTATTGTCCTTGGAGTGAGTTTGGTACTTTGCTAAGTAATTGGCCAACATACAAAATATATTATTTTATTTTCTGAAAGATCAATTGTTCAGAATAGACAACTTCTTCCTAAACCAGCCAATAACAAAGCCACCTGCCATTTGCCAAATAAAGTGTTAGGTGAATGCTGTGTAAATTCCAGGTAACTTGTCAGCAAGGTTGTGTATGTAAAACGTTGTTTTTTTTAAACACAAATGAAAGTACCATTTATTATTGCTTATTTGTTCTGTCCAATGACAATTGACGCGGTGGTGTTCCAATTCTAAAGTATTCTGCATAGATTGAAATAGTGGCACACAAAAACATTGAGTGTCCATTTAAAATGTCAATGACCTGCCATCGTGCCAAGTAAGAAAACAAATCTGATCCTGCTGTTCAGATATTATAAGCCATAAAAATAACTTTTTATACAATGATTTTTAAACATTTATATAATAAGCGGTTTACAACATCCGTTTATTTTTCCCATCCTCTCTATAACACAAACATCATCCCCTTAATGTTCCCTTTTCATCAATACTTAGCCTTTTGATTAGACCAACCTGCACCTGGCAGGTGGAAACTGTACAGAAATACAAGCCTTTATTTCTGACTTTCTAAGACAGACATCACATGATGAAAAATGTTTCCGTATGATTGGCCTTATATTTGCTCACTGCTTTGGCTGTCCTGCTGCAGCCCGTTCAATAATCATAAGATCAAATAACCTGCCTCTAACCCAGCTCAGGGGACACTGTTGATGCCTGAGAGACAGATGAGTCCTCAATGCTGCATCATTAGACATTGACTACTCTAGGGACCCCCTCCCCCCTTTTTTTTTTTTTTTACGCATGCACCATCTGCTCACGTGACAATGTGCTGCTGTACCCAGTACTGCTGTCAGCCATCTTGGTCGACACCCACCCAGTGTATTCACTGCGGTGCACAGGCAGTCCAATCACAGTGAACCGGTGCTGAGCTGACCGGAGGAGGGTTGTGATTTTCGACACTGTGCTCTCTTGCATTTTAAATCCCCCAGTCTGTACAAAAGAGCTAACAAGAGGTGGAGGAGGAGGTGGAGGAGGAGAGGGAAGGGCAGCCTCTCTCAACACAGCCGCGTATTCCACTCAGTTGTAAGCAGGAGGGGAGGAGGATGCAGGCTTAAAGAGGAGGAAAAGAAAGCAGCACCCTTTCAGACACCTGCTGAGAGCTGCTAGAGGCCTTCCTTGTCTTTGGCCTTTTTATGCTCCTTGCTTTGATGCTTTCGTCATCCTCTCTCATTTCCTCTTGCCCCTGACCTGTTATTTGCTGGGACGTGTTTTTCGAACAAAAGCACCTTTTTTTCCCCCTTGTGGTGTTGGTTTTGCATCAGCTGAGTCATCATGTCTGATCTGACGCCTCAGAGCGAAACCCCCACTCCCAACAACGACAAGATCACCCAGGCCGCCCGAGAGACCATTTATCTGTGCAACTTTCGCGTGTCTGTGGACGGCGAGTGGCTCTGCCTTCGAGAGCTCAACGACATCTCTCTGACGCCAGATCCAGAGCCGGCCCATGAAGGTAATGTGACAGATTAGCTCACGGTCCTGAGGAGGGCTGCAGGGCACAGTGGGATCTCTGTTTTGGGCGTGGTAGTTGCACAGGGTCCCCAGACGCAACACGTTCAATCCAGTGAGCTGTGCTAATGTGTCCCGTTTGAGCTGTGTCACCATGGATTTCAGGGTTTGGTGAGAGAGTCTGAGAGCAACACAGCAGGATGACGCCGCCTGTAAATAAGACGGGGCCGGGCAACAAAACAACCAGGAAGTGCCACTTGTTTTGACGTTTGATTAAATTAGATTGCAGCAAATCAAATAGACAGCAATGATGGGTAATATTTGGTGTCTGCTTTCGTTAATCTTACTATAACATACATCAGGAATAGGTTTGCGCCTTGGTGATGTTTTTGACCCTCACTGATACTTAGCAAAACAGGATGCAACTGAATCCAGATATAAACAAGCTGTTCTTTTCATTATCGATTAGTCTCTATATCATTATCTTTATTAATCCATTCGTCTATAAAATGTAAGAGAACTGAATAATGTCCATCCCAGTTTCTCGCACTCCAAGGTGGTGTCTTTTAATGTTAGTCTTGAACCCAAAGACTTTAAGTTCAATGTGATATAAAACGGAGACAAAAAGAAATCTCCATATTGGAAAGCTAGAATGTTTTTGCATAACATCACTGAATATAGAATAGTTGGCGATCATTTTTCGACATATTGTTGCAGCTCTGTTTTACGTAATTTATGTGGACGTTTTTGTTGTGGTTTCATGGTTTAATTGGATTGGAGCAGAGTATCTGCTGCACAGCAAAGGCTTCCTCTTCCGCCTCTCTGGCCACGCCTTCTCTCAGCACAGAGCAGGCAGGTCACTGTTTTCCCGAGGAAGGAGGCAGTTTCTCCAGCTGGTTAGCAAGTCTGACACTGCAGCACTTCAAACTTCTCTACTGTCATGACATGTCAGAGGAAATGTCATAGACAACAGATGCATTTGTTCTGTCCGGCGGCCACTGTAAAACCAAATTTATCAGCACCACTCTCTTATGTTAAAGTCTGATCAATGCGTTTAGTATCAGGGATGCTTGATATTTAATTTTCCATGTGTATCTGAAAATCTAGAACTGCAGAGTCATTTCATTCAAGCTGATCATTTTTATTTATTGCAATATTTCCATGTCTAGTCAATGAGTAAAAGCTTTTCAAATCTAATCTGAGCTATTCAAATGATACTCGTGGTTCATATTTACACCATTTTTGCAATAACATACCAACCTTTATGTGTCCTGTATAACATGGCCCAAATAATGGCAATTCACCACGACAGATGTTTCACGATAAAGTCCCTCATAGTCCTATCCTTAGTTAATTATCCGTCATTTTGTCTTGGAAGTCAATAGTTTCATGTTATATAACTCAAGTCCAAGCAAATGCAAACTACAGATCAAATATCTGGATGTTTCATTAAATGTAAACAAATGCTAAAGGAGAGCACAACCCTGTATAACTCTTTGACTAAAAGTCTCTGGTTATTGTCAGCGCCGTTCTCTTTTTCAAAGCTATTCATCGTTTAAACTTTAATGTTTGTATTAATAATTGTATTAAGGGTAATGCATCAGGTCAGTTTTAAGTTTCAATCTTTTCCGACTTTCCAGGAAAAGGTCTTTTGTTTTGTCACCATCATGTACTGCCCTATTCACACTGCAACACTTCCTGGAAAACATTGGATCTTACTAAATGTACCTCCCGTTGAGTCTGTGTCATGACTTATGACCTCCTTCTTCCTATTGGTTCTTCTCTGTTAGATCCCAAGGATCCCATTGCGATTGAAAGGCTTAACCTGATGAACATGGCCAAACTGAGCATCAAGGGCCTGATCGAGTCTGCTCTGAACCTCGGACGCACGCTGGACTCCGACTATGCGCCTCTTCAGCAGTTCTTTGTGGTCATGGAGCACTGTCTGAAACATGGCTTGAAAAGTATGTACAGCGCACTTCAAACAGTGTATGACAGCAACAGTCTATAACACACAGAAACACTTTTTCCTCATGTATTGGTTAACATAAAAGCAAGCGTACTGCAATGATTTTTATATATACAAAATGTCTCTTAGTTCACTACCAGAATACATAGAAATATACAATCTGTGTAGTTGTAAAGAAATATTAACAATCTACTTTTATCTTCCATATTGTTCGATTTCCCTTATATATTCATTAAAATATCCATCCAATCTACATCTGTATTATCATCATATGAAAATTACTTTAATTAGCAAATATCTATTCAAACCAACCAAATGAGGGATATATAAGTGGTTAGAACGACATTTGTGCCAATTGAATGCTCTGTATTGGGTACATTTGAGTTATCTTTGTACACTTCAGTTCAAAGATTATTCCAAGTTAGTTTCTGTTGCTGAGCATGATGACCCAAATTCCTCAAAAACAAAGGCTTACCAATCACTGTCTCCCTCCTCAGCCAAGAAGACCTTCCTGGGGCAGAACAAGTCGTTCTGGGGGGCGTTGGAGCTGGTGGAGAAGTTGACCCCCGAGGCAGGAGAAATCACTGCCAGTGTAAAAGACCTGCCTGGCCTCAAGTGAGTTGAATACATCAATTACCTAAAGAGGACTGATTTGTCATAACTTAAGCTCAGAGTCCTGTTGTGAACCCTGAAATGTTGAGTGCACCAAAGTTTAATGTCTGAAATGTATAGTACGGGATTTGGGGGTTATTGTCGATGCTGAGTCCATTTCTGACATTTTCGGGATACAAAATGGCAGCTATAGCCAGAAAAAAACATAATTGTACTCTCTGTGGGCTGATTCTGATTAATTTTGGGTTGATTTAGAAGATTTAGGGGGCTCTGGATCATTTCGATTGGACAGATTGCTTATTTATTTGAAAAATAACGCGTCCACAGTAGAGGCAATCACTTTCATTGGGTGCTCTCTAAACCAATGGTCGCAACACTATTCATGGTAGTACAAATATGGCCACGTTCTGGTAAAACTGCAATTGTTTATCCTGAACATTTCAGAAATGGATTCAGCATCCTCAATAACCTCCAAAACCAGACCAAAATTATCCGAATGGGCCAAGCCAGTTCTTTTTACTATTGTCAACATAGGCTACAATGCTAATTAACACTAATTGTGCTAATTGCCCAACATATTCAAGTTAGCATCAGGCAGTTTCTATGTTTCTACTAAACATTTCCGGGTTCACTAAGCTGGCAACTAGACTATTAGACTTTGTTGAAATTATCATGGCGCTTTTTTGCAAAAAACGAACCCTGGTGCCCATTTGAAGCTGTTTATTGAAGAGTTTTTTAATTGAAGTCTCCTGTGTTTGGTTACAGGACTCCTCTAGGACGTGGGCGTGCCTGGTTGCGATTGGCCTTGATGCAGAAGAAACTCTCTGACTACATGAAGACCATCATCAACAGAAAGGACCTGCTCAGGTGAGTCTCATACAGTGTGAGGCCCACTGGCACCTGGAATAACTGTTTAGAAGTAAGGACAATAAATGAAATAGTTTTCTGTTTTAATCACCTAATGAAAGCAATTTGCACATACCTTCCCTGTTTGTGGTAAATAAGTCTTTGTCTCCCTGCTACTGGTCCAAGCACCAAAAACACTGGATCCTACATTCCCCATAATGCAGCATGAGTAGAGTGGTGCATTGACGTATTTTTGTATCCCGACCCAGAATGTAGCATCCCAAGGGTTCCCCGACAAAAAGCAATGGGATTTTTCAAGTCAAGGGAACCCGGAAGTGCTAAAATGCTGACTCATTTCCCGGTTTAAGGACTCAGGCCTGCACCACTCTATAGAGTCTTTCATTAGACCCTCAAAAGTGGTACGGGGATGATGTCTTTTTTTCTCGGCCTGGAAGATAACATCGCATTGCTTCCCTCTACATAATTCACAATGTTTTTCCATTGGATTTTGAAGTATAGCAGAAAATAAGCTCTGTAACAACCAAACAAATGTGAAACTGCTGGAACATTAAGCAGTTTTCTTGTCAGTGACAGTGTTTCTCACTACTACTTTATAGTGAATTTTATGAAGCGAATGCCTTGATGATGGAGGAGGAAGGAGCTGTCATCGCTGGGCTGCTCGTTGGACTAAATGTCATTGATGCTAATCTGTGTATGAAGGGAGAGGACCTGGACTCTCAGGTAACGCCTCAATGTCCCACCAACATTCAGAGCTGCTATAACACAGGGACATTTTGACTAGTGGTTACGTGAAGGCAGGGACCTACAGTAACGTCTAATGTATCTCTCAGATAACAGAAAATGCTGCATTGTGTTTGTGTAGGCTAAAATACTCTGAATAAACATGTCGGCAGCAGTGAGCAAGAACACTTTAGTTGAATCCCTTGCCTTTCACATTTTTGTTATAACTTTGTAGGGTATTTATGTAGGCATTGAATTAACAGTTTTTCTAAGTGTAGATTTCGCCTCAATTCACCAAATGTTAGGATAACATAATGCTTCATTTGCATGTTTAAACATACGAAACGGAACACTTCAAACGTAAAAATAACTAACTTCAACACGTTTTACCCTTAAAACATTTGAATTCTTAAAAAAAAAATCTCCAAAATGTATTTTTAAAGGGCTCTGAATCACTTTGTCTCTTAATTTGTCCCCATAATAAACCTGCATTCATCCAATGTCAAGACTTCTATTCCAGAAATCATCAAGTAAATGTCTTTAATCTTCATCAGCTGGCAATGTGGGAATAAAGACAGAGTTATTGGGAGGATAGGCAGCTTGCCATCACTTTCGTAAACAAGTGTTACTCCAAGTAGGACAGAGTGAAACCTCTCCACTAACAAAGTTCTTGTTAATTGACTCCTGAAATATTTAGATAACCTGAATGCATCTAAACCAGGACACAACTGCATGTGGACAGTGCACACATTAGTAAAGCTCTTCCAGAAGCACTCGTGTTATTCTTGCATTTATTGCATTAGAGCTGCAGTGTGCTTTCAGTTGTCATTGATCGTCTTCTTCTTACTGAATTACTTCTGCAGGTCGGGGTGATTGATTTTTCAATGTACCTCAAAGATGGAGGACACAGTAGTAAGAGTGCAGAAGGGTGAGTTCTCTTTTCTTACTTCAAAATCATTTCAGCTATCAAAATATGTAGTTGTTTAATTTCTGTAGTATCTATCTAAAGCATTTATTGATTCATATGCCAATTATTTTCCCGATTTTATTATTTGGTCTACATCCTAAGTGCTTTTCAAGTGTCTTAATGTTGTCACTTAATCTTTTACTTTGTCTACATTTGTCTATTTACTTAAATGTTAGGACAGGGGAAATCTGAACTTCTTACAACTTAAAAAGCTTTTTTTCATGAACATTTAAATACACATTTTTGCATGGTTCAATGAAAACTGACTAAAAACATTCATTCCTGCTTCTTCAGTGACGGTCAGATCACAGCGATTCTCGACCAGAAGAATTATGTGGAGGAGCTGAACAGACATTTAAGGTTTGTCAGAGCCCTTCTTCACCTTTTCCAGCAGCGTGTTGAGCTCCAGACTGACGTGATGTTTCCTGTGTTTACAGCGCATCAGTAAATAACCTCCAGGCCAAGGTGGACGCTCTGGAGAAGTCTAACACGAAGCTAACCGAAGAGGTGAGAGTCGTTCACAGCTGAGCTAAAACACAGCGGTTGGCTTGTTGTTGTTTACAGAACGGTGACTTGACTTTTGTCTCTTCAGCTCGCCGTGGCAAATAACAGGATCATCACTTTACAAGAAGACGTGGAGAAAGTGAAGGAGGAGAGCTCATATCAGCTGGAGTCCAGGAAGGTGAGCACATCACACATTTCATTGTTTGGAAAATGGAGACAAAACACTACAGTATGATCATTTTACCCATACTCAATAATGAATACCTCAAATGCAATCCAGAACTCCAAAATATGTTTGTAGTAGGGTGACCAGAGACCAGAGGTTTACAATGCGATGATTATTTTAAGTGTTAGAATAAAGTAAAACAATACAATAAACAAATAACAGTAGAACTTAAGAGACATTTTAAGGGATAATGTGCCCACTCATTGCACAGCCACATACTGAATAAACCAACGATTTGACTCACAATATTCATTTTAAATGATTTTATTGATTGTGAGTAGGGCTGAACGATATATCGTGTCATGGCGATAACCGCGATATGCGCATGCGCGATATTCACGTTGCAGGGACGTGCGATTTTATAAAAAAAATGTATTAATTTTTTATTTAATTTTTTTAAAAAAAAATTTTTAGGACGTGCGATATTAAGTAGGTAAATTAACTCAAACACGTCATGTTACAATTATTTTGCTGCTTGCTACAAAAGGAAAACTTGCGCGGCTCTCATGTCAGGGGTACTTGAGTGAGTGACATGCAGGCTCTGCATGCACAGAAAACCACCAATCACAATCATTCTTGATCAGATCACAGCAGGCCCCGCCGCGATAGTTTGCAGACCATCAAAACACCGGTAAAAAATGAGCGAGGAACAGGAGGACAATACCGGCGAGAATGAAGATGTACTTCCAAAAAGAAAAGCAACATCTGCCATCTGGAACTATTTTGGATCCAAAAAGGTTCTTCTCTTCTTCATTCACAGATGAACCCCCTTATATGAGGGTAAGCAACATGCATTATCATGACATGTTAGATCATGACTTAAGGTATGATGAGTCAACCAGTTAAGATCCAGACGTCCGTGACTAAAATCCTTCATCCGGTTAAATATAGTTAAAAAAAAAACGCAATATATATCGCAGGGGAAAAAAATATCGCAATATCAGTTTTTTCCAATATCGTGCAGCCCTAATTGTGAGTATTAACAACCTCTGAATTATTAGAACAGTTAGAATCAAGTATTCAACCAAGCCATGTTGAAAAACGATATTATTATATTTTTTAAACATGTACAGTTACTTTTACACAATAAATGATGAGCAATATGTTTATCAGTTATATAATATGTAGTTTCCCATCCTATGGTATTAAGGTCATTCTTGTTTTCCTAATAAATCTCATGATCCTTCTTTTTAAATGTCATAATTAGTTTGACCCAGATCACTAAAAACGAATTGGGGTTCAAGGATTCCTCTTTTAATACGTTAGAAAGATATCTCAATTTTAGCATATATTTAAATACACTGACTTTTATTAGGATTGTATCCATTACTAATTGAGACAAACGAGTGTATATTATTGATTATTACAAGCCCTCTGTATTAAAGACGTATACATGATTTATCCAATATTTGTCACACTGGTAGTTGATATAGGAAGTATTTGTTTTTACCATATTGCTCAGCCGCTATTTTGAATGGTGGTGATTGGTAGCTAAGTTAAATCACTTGTTCTCAAAGGTACTTTAACTGTACATATTTCTGCAATATACATTCACAACAAATCCTTTGTTTTTTTCAGGCATCAAGAAGCGACTCGGCCCCAGACGGACAGGTGCTGGGTGAAACACGCAAGCAGCTCAAAGAGGAAACGTTGCTTCGATTGGTGCGTTCAGGCTCTTCACAAAGCTTCTCTGTTCATGTTTGGGTTTCTATATTGTTATGACATACTGAGAGAATCTATCAAATGAATAGATATGGATATAAAATATACACTTATGTGCAATTTCTCTTTATTTCTTTAAAATGTATTTACCATTTTTCAACGATACCGGCTCCTTGAATACCTTTCACTTACGTTTTAAAATTCAGCTTTTTACAATTTTTTTCCCAGTTCACTTACTTGTTTTCTCTTATTTGTTTATATTTCTAAATAACATGTCTACTTTTCTATTTAATATTATAGTCTACTCTTTTTCTTTTTGCCTTTTAACCGCTATCTACCTTTGCTGCTGTAGTGCAGTAAGTGTCCCCGCTGCAGGACAAATAAAGGATGTCTCATTCTCATATGCTAAAACACGGCATGTTAACTTAATAGGGTAGGGTAATAGGTAGAATACCTACGCAGAGGAAATATCAGCTTCCTTTTGTGAAGTGTGTGTCTGAAGTTGGATGTGTGTGTGCAGGATGTGGAGAAGGAGCTGGAGGTGCAGATCGGGATGAAGCAGGAGATGGAGCTGTCCATGAAGATGCTGGAGAAAGACGTGTGTGAGAAGCAGGACGCGCTGATGGAGCTGAGACAGCAGCTGGAGGACCTCCGGGTCATCAACCAGCAGCTGAGCCACAAGTCTCAGGTCAGTCTGCTCCCATCCTTACATTTCACATCAACGGAGAAAAGGAAGGGATACTGAGCCGTTTATTGTTGTCTGCTTTACAGGGAAAAACACCAAAATGTAATCTACCTTATTGTTTTAGGGTTATAGTCTAGTATCTAGTTGCCAGCTCATAGGGTCATATTATGAAGCCGGAAATGTTGAGTACACCAAAGTGTTATGATAGAAATGTGTAGTAGGGGTCCTCAGCACATAAAAAAACTGCCGAATGCTACCTTTCATTGAACTAGCATAAGTTGAGTTAATTAGCATCAATGGCATTATAGCCTATGTAAACAATATATATATATTTTTTTTTTTAAATGCTTAGCCGATTTGGAATTTTTTGTAATGGTTTTGGGGGTTATTGAGAATGCTGAGTCAATCTCTAACATTTGTATTTTACACACTATCTTGTCTTTTTTATTTTTGCTGTAATTTCATTGTTTACAGTGTTGGTTTTTAATCTGTAAAACCCACTGAGACAAACATGTTTTGTGATATTGGGCTATACAAATAAACGTTGATTTGATTTGATAAAGCACTACTCCCGCCCAGGTCACAAACTGTTCTCTCCTGCCTTCCGGTCAGAGATACAGGAGTTTTAAAACACGGACAAACAGAAAAACAGTTTTCACCCCTGGCCACCATGCTGTTAAACCAGCAGTCATAAGTGCAATGTTATTTAAATTACCCGACTCGTATAAAACTTTTTGAATGCACTTAGATTTTTATATCATGTATCTCTGTTTTTATTGTTTGTCTTTTTTCGTTTTTGCACTGCCAGGGTAGCACTACAAAATATCATTGTATATTTGTTGTATAACGACAATAAAGGCTTTCTATTCTAATAAATTGCCCTTTCCTCCTCTTCCTCAGAGTGCAGACGCCGGCTCTAAACAGAAGAGTGAAGCCATCTCTCGCCTGGAGGAGAAGATAAACCAGATTTCAGGCACTGTCAAACAGATGGAGACCAGGTGAGGACAGCTCCTCCAAAGACTGCCTTTTGAATTATTATTACAGTACATTGTTTTTTCTTCACGGAATCACTTACGAAAACATCTTATTGTCCTTTTTTGTCATTCTCCTCCCTCCACTTTCATTAATTTGTTCATTCTCATTATTTATTTGAATCATTTAGTGAGAAGCATTTGGTGAAGCAGGCTAGGAACCTGAACTCAGCAGCGGGGAAGCTGCTGCAGCAGTAGCTCCCCGCTTTCATAAAACTGAATACAAACATACAACCCCTGCCTAATATAGAAATAACCAAACTAGGATGTTATCTCTTTTCTGTACCATGCTCCTTTGTTGTTGAAAATCAAACCATTTTCCCACAAGCTCCTGCAGTGGCTCTCCAGCATCCGCTTCGAGTAGTGTGGACTGAATGGATCTATTTAGCGTCCCTAAATCCTTGTGTTCAGATGTTATCCACATCAGAGTTATACTTCTGTTTGGTAGGCATTTCTTCAAAATACCGCATTGATGCTTTTTTGGCAAAAGACGAGTAGATGGCAGGGTGGTTGGAAGTTCACTGTGAACAGTTTTTAAAGATTTCAAGGATTGAGTGAACAGTTCCTGGTTATTTAGGAGGTAATGGACTTTCAGTAATGTTACTCCAAAGAATAAGAAAATGTCCGACCCACAGAGAATGAAATGATGTTGATGCGCTGGTGTCACATGCTGTCAATTGGTGATCCAAATTCAAGTGTAAAAGGGCCAGGACAAGGGTAGGATGAAAAAATATGAAAATGGCAAAATTAATTTATTAATTTTGAATTGTATGTGAGCATAACATTGGTGTAAACTGTAGTAATCATTAGGCTAATAAAACAATAAACAAACACAGCCTGCTTCATCTTCTTTGGCTAAGGTTCTTTCAGTCTTCACTTCTTTGTGTTTTTCCATTTATTTCTGTTCCAACCATGTTTCTTTTCGTCAAGTTTTTATTTTACCATAAGTTTGTGTAACACCCCCTCCCCTAACCAGATACAAACAGGCTGAGAGAGAGAGGGCTCTGGCTGTAGAGGCCAACCGGCTCTTCAAACAGGAGTTTGGGGACAAAATCGAGAGTCTGCAGGTAGAGGTGGAGCTGCTGAGGAAGCACAGGTACTCTACTCTGTCTTTTTCACTGTTATTTATCCTATTTAGATTATATTATGTTTTTTTTAATTTAGATGCATTTTTTCAAAAACACATTTTTAAATTGTATTATTTTATAAAGACTATTGTTTCTATGTTTTATTATATTTGCTGTTAATTGTCACATTTTCATTTCTCTTACCTTGTTGTTGTTGTATAAACACCATAGTATATTTTATGCAAAGGTGGAAAAAGTACTCAGATCTTGTACCTAAGTAAAAGTACAAGTACCGGAGGGTAGTAATAAAGTAAAAGTCCTGCATTCAGAATGTTACTCAAGTAAACGTACAAAAGTATTGCCTTCAAAATGTACTTAAAGTACCTAAAGTAAAAGTACTCATTATGCAGATAGGCCCATTTTAGAATAATTGTATATATTATGTTTTGATTATAATGATTGATCATGAAAGAGTTCTCAAAGCTGGTAAAGGAGCAGCTAGTTTGAATGACTTTGTATACTGCAGGGTAGCTGGTGGATTTACTCCAGGTGGAACTAAAGTCTGATTCAACACTTGATTATATTTCACATCATTCATCCTGATCTGTAAAGTAACTAAAGGTGCAAAATAAATGTAGTGAAGTCAAAGTACACCATTTACCTCTGAATTGTAGTGGAGTAGGTAACAACAAATGTAAATACAAGTATCTCAGAATTATACTTAATTATAGTACTTTAGTAAATGTACTTAAGTAAGTTACTTTACACCACTGATTTTATGCAGGGTGAAAAGACTTCTGGGAAATGAACTTAATTCTAATTCTGGTCTATAGTAATGGCAATGTGGTGGTAAATATTAATATATATATATATATATATATATATATGGTGACTTTAAAATGCTGCATGTGGCCTTAATTTCGTTTTTAGACTCAGATCATTGTTTTCCTGCTCTTCTGTCCTTTTTTATACGTTACACTTGCTGGATTCAGGGGTTATCTGGAGGTGGAGCTGAGGAAAGAGCGGGAGTGGCGGAGCGAGCATCACCATGGCGACGCTGCGTCCGCACAGCCTGCTGCTCCTCGGAGGGAGAGGAGACTCCCAGAGAACATACCAAAGGTAACGCTCTGATCTCAGATAATTAAAAGTGTTTGACTGTCTCCACTTTGTTATTTATATAATATCTGTGTATTGTCCGAACAGCGTCCCTCAGAAGCTCTGTCAGCCAAAAGGGAGAGCGAGCAGTCAGGAGCAGAGGACAAGAGCAGTCTGAGCTCCAGCCTGTAGGTCCTGTTAACAACTACAGCTTTAGGAAAAACATAAATCATTGAGGAAATATTATTTGTATTTATTATTTTACCTCCTTTTTTAAGGTCCTCAAGGTCACACCATGAGGATGAGCAGGTAAGGTCTAACATGCACTACGCAAAACATTTGATTATCTTACTGTAGTTTATTATCCGTTTATACATTTTTGATAAGGAAAAAATCATTCCAAGTATTTAAATGTAAGTAGTTTGTTACCATAAAGATGCACACAAGAACTGTAGTAACAGTCAATCAGCGATTCAATACATAAAAAAACGGCTATAATTAACCATATGAATAATAATAATCAGTCTTATTTTCAACCGATTTCCTGCAGGAAGAGTCCTTCGGGGAGATCAGTCCGCCGTGCATCTGTATGATGTGTGAACAGGAGGACTCCCTCCTGAAGACAAAGGTACGAGAACGGAATATTATTCCTACCCAATACATTTCACAATATGAAGTGCTGCTATAAATCCCACAGCCTCTGTCTTTACTCTAACATTATTGGAACTGACAACCAATGATACCATTTTTAAATGCAAGGTTTACACAAATGGGATTTGAAGACCAATTATTCTTCATACCAAATTTTAACTTGGTCATGGCACTCCTCCATTATGAACTTTTAATTCAAATTAGCATCAATTAAATTTCACTTTATCAACTAATTTGTATTATCTTTACCATATTAGCCTATGTGGATAATCTCACATAAAGTTTGGTCACATTTTTTAACTGAGCATCTACAGATTATTTCCTGTATGCCTGTATTGATTTGATTTTATACCATTGACATGTTTGGCGAACCACTCGAGCTCTGAGTGAGACGTACAGTAAATAGATTTCTTAAGATTTAAAAATATTGACATTAATTAGACAGAAAGTTTGGCCGCATTATGAAACGTTCTCAACGGCAGACATGAAAACAGAATTACAAAACAGCTGTTACTGCTCTGAAGTAAAACATACCTTGTTTTAAATCTTCAGTTAGATCAATGCGGTGCTGCATTTTTGAATGCTTAAAAAGCAGTCACTTGCCCAAAAATAGAATTAATTATAATTTGAAAAAAATTGTTTGTTTCAACTTTTTGAAATCAGGATATAAATGGAACAGCCAAAGTGCTATAAGAACTATTGAGGTGTGAAATAAATAATACTGTGTGGGGTTCAATCTGCCAGCGTCCTTCACTTCCTGTCCCTGTGTGTTATAACCCTGTTCTCTTCTGTGCAGAAGCAGTGTAAGAACTGCGGCGGGGTTTTCTGTGAGAGCTGTGTGTCCAACGAGCTGCCGTTACCTTCCTCCATCCTCCCAGAGACTGTGTGTACCTCCTGCTTCTCTCTGTTGCTCCAACAATACGCTTCAACACCAACCTGAAACAACTCCGCATTTTACTACAGGACACCATGATCGGACACATGGAAACCGAGGCATTCAATACGAAGCTGGCACTGCAAAAATGCACTTTTTGACTTTGTGTCCTGAAACATTATGAAAAATCTGATGGCGTTCCGAAGGAGGTCTGAACTCTAATGTCCAAACATGTGCCAATTAGAGCTGTTTTTTTGGAGGCAGGTTTTTAGTCTTTCAGATACTGTTGTTATCTGTTATTCTTCCTCCAGGAAAACCTGCACTCAAAAAGCTGTCAAATGGCACCTGGATTGAAATGTATAGAAAAAGTCAACTTGAATCATCTCATCTCGTGCATGAAAACTGACTCTGCACAATGTCCACTAAGTGGATGATTGATTAAGAAGGTCAACTGTTATATTTATATTAAAAGTAATTAGGTTTTAAAATACAGGACTTTTTTGTTGCTTTAGTCACAACTGTTCTCCACCGCTCTAAATCATATACAGATCAGTAAAAGATCCAGTGGATTAGATGAAGCATGAAGTTTCACACTTTTGACCAAATACTTTATGAAACATTGTATTTAAAATGTGTCTATTTGGAGAAAGCTTTATTATCCACTCTAAAATTGTATTTAAAGAAATTCTAATAATACATGCGTCAAGTCTAATGAGTAATTGTAAGGCTAGAAAAAATACAAATATTTAAGATGTAGGCTACTGTATCACAATGGCAAATTTCTAGTCTGTGCCGTGTTTCTTATCACAATATCATTATGTGATGGAGACTTCACACTGCTGTTCAGACTGTAGAGTGGAGTATGCTGTTTGACATTTTGGGCAGTGTGCTGATTCTGTCTTGCAATGAGTTAATGACAAAATCGTTACAACTACATTCAATATATGAAGCTACAGTCAGCAGCAGGTTAGCTTAGCACAAAGACTATAATTGGTATATATTTTTTGTTTTATAGTACCAAAAAAAGTGTAAAAATGATGGTATGGGGGACTCTTTTTTTTCCTGGCCACAATAAATTCCTTTAGTGTTGAATGTGTTTGTGACTTTTAGAATTACTGGAAGGCAAACCTTTGGACTGAGTCAGATAGTCTTTATGCTCGGCTAAGCTAACATGCTAGTGGCTGTAGCTTCTTCAGGCATAATCGTATTTCCCATGATGCCACACTAAGTTTACAAAGCTGAATATTCTTGGTAAAATATGTATTTACTATTGTGTTCAGTATTAGGAGTGGCATTAACACGTTTTCTTAAAGACCCTGGTTTTTCTCAAACAGTTCTGCAGTTGAGGTTGTTTTCTGGATAATGTACCTTTCTTTTCTGGACATCTAAACATATTACGGCACTTTTAAAAGCATGGCTCTGGCTGTACTGAATAGGGCTTATAGCTGCAACAGCTTTTTTATGTTTTGATTTATATGAAGAAAAATTAGAAGCTCAGTAAAACGGCTTATTGTTCTTGTTGAAGCTCTTTAAACCATGAGATGGAAATGCGTGTTAGATGATCAACAATAAACTTTTATTAAATGTTACTGTTGTTTAAATGGATTACCCAGTCATATTTTTCATTTTAATCCTTTGTTTTTTATTCTTTATTTATTTGGGGTCACATAATACAAGTACAGTTTTTCAAATCATATATTTTTAGAGAGCCGAAAGTGACATAGCAAACAAAATTAGTCAAGATAACAAAAGTACACAGGGGTTGTTTGAAATAGCAAATGTCTACACATGTATGCATACATATATACATTCAATACACATACCACATACATGTGACCATACATGCACACCTATACATATACATTAAATCGGTGTATAGAAACAGTCAAACAAGGGATGGTCGTCTTTGGGATATGTACATTCTCCACTTTTTCCATATTTCTTCAAATGTGTTTTCCTGAAGCCTCATTGAGAATTGATTCTTTCCATAACATAGATTTCATGGGTTTTGTCGTACCAGTTGTCAAGAGAAGGGATATCCACTTTGAGCCATTTTCCAGGTATTGCTTTTTTTGCTGCAACAGTAAGAATTCCAAATAATTGTTTTGAAGTTTGTGGGGATTGAATGTACGAGCCCAAATAGAAATTCGTCCCAGTTTAAAGGGATTTTTTTCCTGTAGTACTATTTCAATTTCTATATGGATCTTTTGCCAAAAAGTTACTATTAAAAGGGCAAGCTCAAAACAAATGGTAGTGATGTGCTAACTGAGAACCACATTTCCTCCAGCAGCTGGGGGGCCCGAGATGATGTGATGACTGAGCAGGGCTGAAAAAGTACCTGCTCAGCATCTTCCAAGTAAACATTCTGTAGGTGCCTGAGCTCGAGATCTTCCATTGAAAAGTGCAGTAATTTGTCCAGACTTCCTCAGGGATGGTTTTTTTTTTGTTTCATTTTTCCCAAATCAAGATCATGTGAGCACCATCTTAATATCTTCATTTCCTCCAGCAAGTCACTCCTGGTAAGGACCCTTAACCATCATTTTAAGGAGAGGTTGATCCAGCGGTTATCTTTTTCCAGTAAGTTTTTAACATGTCTTTTATCCCCACCAGCAGAACAAGCTTCTTAATTGGGCTGATGTATAGTAGTCCTTCAAGCAGGGCAGCGCTACTCCTCCCTTGTTTTTTGCTAGTTGAAGAGTACAGAATCGAATCCTTGGTTTCTTCCCTTGCCAGATGTACCTTGATATGGTTTTATCCCATTCGTTAAACTGCTTGTCTGTGATTTCAATTGGTAGATTCTGGAAAAGGTATAAGAGTCTAGGTAGGATGTTCATTTTCACTGATTCTATTCGAGATTCAAAGCTCAGCACTGGGATCACGTTCCATCTATTTATGTCTTCTATTTTCTGACTTAGAGGGTTGAAATGTAGTGTATACAATTCCTCTGAATCTTTAGAGATGCTTACATCCAGATATTTTAAGTGGTTCAGATCCCAATTAAGATCAATGAGTGAGTTTATATGTTTGCTTGGCTTGTAATTAAAGCTCAGTATGTGGGTTTTTGTTATATTGAGTTTGGACCCTGAGACAGAACTATAAGTATCCAAAAAAGTCAGTAAACTCAAGAATGATTCATCTGCGTTTGACAGGTATATTAATATATCATCAGCAAATAATGATAATTTATGTTCCTGACCATATACTTGTATACCGGTAATATTGTTATTTTGAGTAACCCCCAAACTCAGAGCTTCGATATAAATTGCGAATAACAGACGGCTAAATGGACATCCCTGTCGTGTCCCTCTCTCAAGGTAGAAATAATTTGATATGGCTCCATTTATTTGTATTCTTGCATAAGGGTTGTCGTCCAGTGCTTAAACCGTATTAATAAAGATTTTGTGAAAGCCAAACTTTTCAAGAACTTGGTATAGGAATTATACTATGTATAATACTTGTTTCAGGGTCTTTTATTTTATAAATTGTGTTTTCTACCTGTTCTTTTAGTTTGTAAGCCAATAGTTTTGCTGATTTACCTCCTACCTCATAACTTTGTTTTTTTTTAATGTGGTTTGAGAGGATTTCATGGAGTTTTTTTATCTATTTCCATTTTAGTTTTTGTATTTAGGGTTTTCTTATGTATATTTTCTAGATGTTTTAGTTCTGTTTGAAGCTGATTTGTTTTCTCTTTTCTTTGCTTATTTATGTTTGAGGAGTATCCAATTATTTTTCCTCTTAGGACAGCTTTGCATGCATCCCACAAGATTATTGGGGACACTTCTCCATTATCATTATCGTTCAGATAATCTTTTATATCGGTCCTGATTTGAGGCCTAATTTGGTTAAGAATTCCTGTGTTCAGTCTCCAGATTGTGCTTTTCCTTTCTAGTCCTAGATTTAATGCCATGGAGACCGGGGCATGGTCCGATAAGTCCATGGTCCCTATACTGCAATTTTGAACCCTATAAAAATCTTTCTGATACATAAACAGATAATCAAGCCTTGAATATACTGAGTGTGGTTGTGAGTAAAAGGTAATATCTTTCGTAGACGGATTTAGGTCTCGCCATATATCCGAGAGCCCTAGGTCTCCCAAGATCAATTTAATGTTCTTGGTAATTTTTTTCCCTCCTAAGGAAAGGGGTTTTGATGTATCTAAAGTTGGGTTAAGTCTAACATTGAAATCTCCCCCACAAATTAGAATTCCTTGGGCCTCCAATGTTATTATTTCAAAAATGTGTTTGTAAAATGGCCATTCAGATCCCGGGGGGGCATATACATTCAGGAGGGTAACTAAAGTACCCTCCAAATAAGTACATATCTCCCATCTTTGTCCTTTTTTTCATATGTGCATTCAAAATGTAATTTACTGGAGATTAAGATTGTTATGCCCCTCCTAGATCCCTTTCTGTAAGAGGATGAATATGGACTGAAGTTCCACTTTAAGTTTTTGGTGTTCCTGTTCTGTTAGATGAGTCTCTTGAAGGAGGGCTATTTCTGCTCCATCTCTTTTTAATTTTGACATTACTTTATTCCTTTTAATTGGATTTCCCAGACCGTTCACATTGTATGTAATTACTTTAATTGACCCTTTACTTTGCATGGTGATTATTTGCCTTTATTTTAAATCCATGAGTTCCTACATTTAAATCATTTCACACATCCCCTGTTGTATATATATAACATTAATAAAATCCAAAAAAAGTATAACAAAATAATATCCACAAACATAAGTGACACTGACTTCCAGATTTAAGGCCACATATTGGGCCTTGGAGTGTGGAGGGAAAGTCTCTTCCTCTTAGAGATGGAAGGGGGCCCTCTTCAGCCCTTAAGCTGATACAATGGTCCATAGAATACAGAGAGTAGCAAACCGACCCAACATTTGGCTCACATGTGCCCGTGGTATAAGCCTTCTATTCAATTTGGTCTCAACCTTTGGGTAGGGAGAAAAATAGTAAAGGCAAGGAAAAAATAATAGTCTCAGTTACCTCAAAATAGCCGTATTATTGATGTTTCTTTTTAACCAAGATATTCAGAAAGGAGCATCCATTAAAGAGGGCATTTATGAAACATAGGCTACTTATCAGATATCCCGATGTCGAAAGCTTCAAAGCCGTTCCTTGAAATGTTGCTTGGAGCTCGGGTGTAGTTGATCTCCTCGCTTTCTGCTGGGTCCCCAGGTCAGCCGGTTAATCTGGTCCAGTAGCTAGCTCGGATTTGTTAGGACAGTCACTGTTATCCCTCTCTTCACCGTGTCTGCTGTTGCCTCCTCAGCCGAGTTGTCCTTTGGTTTTTCAAGACATTATCAGTGTGCATGGTGCTCTTTGTTGCTTTGAGCTATTTTGTATAGATTTATTTAAATTTTTAGAATAGATAAAAAGCTCTTAGGTTAAAGTGGATGACTGTTAACAACAAGTTATCTTTGGTTCACCGACACAATTTTGACAAGATGTATCTGCAATTAGTTTTACCATTCAAATCAACCTTTTTATTTCTGATCGAAACACAAATCACTTTAGATGCTAGTTTTTGTAAAGCATAAGCACTTTCTGTAAATGTATTACATAATTGGATGTTATCTTAAAGGTGAATCAACTAGCGCATGGTGCCTAATATGCCAAGAATCATGCTGCTATTTTCATTGCTTAATACAATGGTGGTGGTCAAATGTGAAATAGGTTATACTATAAGGGGAGGCCCGTTTGGTTAATTGCTTCATAAGTTTAGGGGATATTGAAACATCAGATTTAGAGTAAAAGTGTCCACAATTTTGCAAATTGTATTGACAAGAATAATGAAATGGTTTGGTTTCACTACACCTTCAAAGCAGATTAGCATGCATCATTATGGAGGAGTTGAAGAAAAACTCAGCTGAATCTCACACGGTTCCAGTTACAAACTTATTTTTATTTTGACACAAGGAATGTTTCTTGTTTGAAGTCCAAGTAGGGTTGAACATAAATACAATAGTCCTGTGTATGTGTGTTTTTTGGCATCTGGGACGGCATTCACCTGCAGGAGACGGTACAATATGTCAAACCACATCCGGAGTTGAAAAGTATAGCAGAGATTAAGCAAGGTAAAACAAGTGAATTCACATTTAAATATTAGAATATCAAATAATAAACTGTCTTTTAGAAATTAAGAAATGCAGCAGATTTTTTTCAAGTTGGAATTTGAAACGTTGTGGACCTAATTCAGTGTTTCTCACCTTAAATAGTCATTAGAGTTCAGGAATAACTCCATGTATCTTTCTCCTAAAAATCAAAGAAGGTTCAAATGTTCAGTTAAACCCGCAGTGACACAAACACAACTGTGATTATTATATCATTTTTTTATATTGTAACAAATAATGTTGTAGCAGACCAGTAAAACTGGGGATTGTAGTAAAGATCACATCCAATCACATTTAAGATGCTTCAACCATAACATACATAGAAGATGTTGTTGACTGTTTGCTTTATCTAAAATGATAACGTACATTAAAAAATATACGGAACTGTTAAGAATACCAAGGCATTGTACGAGGATAAATAATAAGTTATGGACATTATTTCCATCATGGTGACTTAAAAAAAAAAACTGT